CTTCCGTTCCGTGGCATCTGCAAAGCAGGCGGCAGCCCGGGGGTTCAGGCCACTTCAGCATCCGAGGATTCTCGTTTGCTGCCCCTCGGGCCAGGGCGGACCCGGCCGCGCCCGCCTCCCCAGCAGCCCGCGGACGCCCTGAGCGCACCGTGACGCGACTCCCGCGCTTCCTGCTGTGCCGCAGGTCCTCCTCCGCGCCGTGACGCGCCAGGCTTTGACCAAATATGTCCCTTTCCCCTCCCTCGCCTGCCCTGCTGCTCACAGGCGCCCGGAGCCGTGGGGCTGCCACTTGGACGTCAGCCTGCTCTTCTGTCGCGGGCCAGCCCCGCGAGGAGCGCCTTCTGCGCGATGCCCTTCAGGAGAGGTAAGGCGTCCCGTTCCAGTAAAGGGACCCGCGCTGGGCCGGTGCGCCCGACGTCTGCGCGGCTCCTGCGGGCACCTTATGGCTTGGTACCGCTCGGTGCGGGAGCCCTACGCGCCCGCGCTGGTGCTGAGACCCTCTGCCGGCGTGGTCTACTCTGGCGACTCCAGGGCCGACTCCACGTGCTCCAGCTCCGGCGCCGCGCAGGCTGTCCCGGGCGGGGGGCGCGCCTGGGCGCTCTCAGCGAATCCCGGAATCCCACTGCTCTGGAGTCCCGAGGTGCTGCCGGAATGGGGCCCGAGGATGCGATAGGTTCTCGCGGCGGACTGGATATGTTGGTGGCGAGCGTTGTACTACATCGTGGGCTTAGAGAGAGGTTGGTGGGGCGGAGGCCGCGCGGAGAAAGACAGATCGCTGGTTTTTCCAGCCCTCTTGCCCAGAGGAAGTCATTTATCTCCACAGCCTCAGTTTCCTCTTCTGCGAAATGAGCACATGACTAGGGTGGCCCTGGGAGGACTGAGCAGCAATGCGGTCTCCCCCCCACCCCCACCTCCCACCCTCCCCCGTATCTGGAGGCACTGCCCTCTGCGCGCCTCTTGCATCTCAGCCTGTTCACCTTGGCCTTCGCCGCACCTGGTGCACAAGGACTGCCAGAAAGGCCCAGGTGCTGCCACAGCCTCTGCCCCCGAAATGCATATTTGTTCTCATTTTGCAGGCAGGGCCACGGAGGCCAGTGACTGATAGAGCTGGCTAGACCTCTGGATCAGCCTCAGGGCAGATCTGAGGGACAGAAGTGGGGGCTGCGGAAGAGTGGGGAGTAGGGGACTCTATTTCACTTCCAAACCAGAGCTGTGTGGCTCTCATGTTTACTGTTTGTGCCATGGGAGGCTTGGGACCTGGTGAGCATTTGTCACTCCGGAACAGAATCTCCCTCACCTTGCCTGGGAATATTGATGGTGAGTACCCAGCAAGGTAGCCTGGCCTCCCTAGTACTTGGCACTGTGCTGTTGCTCTCTGCTCACTGCCCTCCCCCATCCCTTTCTTGGCTCTGTCTTCACTCCTCTCATAATTCATAATTCTTCTCTCAGATGAATTGTCAGGCTAGAGATATGGTTGCTGGGAACCCAGAAGCTGCGTTGGCCTTCGTCCCTTCAACACAGGTTGTTAAGGGACAATGATAAGGCCCTGGAGATGAAGGGGTATGGCTGACACTCCCTGCCCTACTGGGGATAGGGGAACGAGGAGGGTGGCAATTAGGAAGGTGATAGTGAAGAGCAGGGGTGATGAGTTCTGTCTGGGCCTTGGTCAGCTGGTGCTGGTTAGTCCCATGGGCGCTGTCCTTAGTGTCTCCATCACTCCATGTGTAACAGCTACCTTGTCTCTCTGAGTCATCGCGAGGCTCCGTTCTCCACACTGCCTCATTAAGTGCAGTGTGAACAGCCATCTGTCTCTCGGTCCACGGCTTCTGCCCACGGTGCCCTCGTGGTTTCTGGTTGGTGAAGTCCTGGAAGGCAAAGTTATCTGCTTACCACTCATGGTGCTCAGGGAGTTGTTGTATGCAGCAAGACATTAAATAACTGGGCTGCAAGATTATTTTCTGCCTGTGAAGATTTTATTTTATGACAGTACATTTTCAGTGCATTAGTAGGTGACACAGGAGAAAACATTTGCAAACTGCCAACTGAGTTAAGCTTTGGACTTTCTTGTTTTAATCTGCAGAGACACCATTGCATGTAGAGGCCAATGTTATCATGCCATTCTATGGATGCTACTTCCTGAAGGCCCTGGGATATAAAAAATAGTTCTTGTTTGGAATAAGTGCAGTGTAAATGTTTGGGAAGCTTCAGTACAAGCCAGACTTGATGGAGTTAGAAGCTCTCATTTAGATGTAAGCACAGCAAATGGGAGTGACGGGGGATCAGGGCATAGTGAACCATCATCTAGAGCTGCCCTGAGGTGACAAGGTCCACCTACGAGGCGGAGCACAGCACCCTGTCCCTGCACTGCTCAGAGAGGAGAGAGAACCATGCACAGACTTTTTATTGCTTTTTTGGGTTTAATTTTTTTTGAGCCATTTGAATGTATTAATTATTCAAAAAATAATTTTACAAATAGGAAATAGGGGGACCAGCAGGTGGCGTGGTGGTTAAAGGCACTGGATACTCCCACATGGCCAATCACTGTTTGAGTCCTGGACCTGGTGGCTTTCTCTCTCTCTCTCTCTCTCTCTCTCTCTCTCTGTGTGTGTGTATGTCTGGTCAAATTAAAATAAATGAATGAATCAATAAAATTAAATAAATAATTCTTTAAAAAAGTAGGAAATAAGGTCAGCAGAAAGCATGGAGGTTAAGGTGGCTGGATCCCACATGGCCGACTGTGTGGTTTGAATCCTGGATCTGGTGGCTTGAAAAACATGCTAGGAGTATGTGCTTGCATGCCCAAAATCACAAGAGGAGAATGGAGGAGAAGGGACTGTGGTCCCTGGGGGGGGGGTGCTTTCTCACTTTCCCTCTCTCTCTGTCCCTGGTGAGCATACACACGCCCTATAGCAAAGCAAAGCAAAAAGCAAAAAAGGAAATGAAAACACTGTTGTCTTCTCCCAAACCCTAAGAAGCCAGATGGAGAGGTTTCCTCAGTGGGCTACAAACCTAGAAAAGCCAGCTGCTACTCCCCTTCCATGCTGGGTTTCTGTGTCCTCACAGGCAGATGACTTTGGCATCTCCAACGGAGAGCAGAGAGGGGCCTGGCAAGAAACACATGGCATGCTTGGAGTGGGCAATTGAGAAGAGCTTAATAAAGGGACTATTACGAAAGTCTTGATAAGGTATAGGAAAACCACAGGGATAGTGAGGAACCCTGGGCTTTACCACCCCTTGGCCTAGATGTTGAGGGACAGAGAGGTTACTACAGATGGTCTCCTGACAAGAGCTGGGCCTCCCTCAAGGATGTAGGCAGCCTACAGCTAGCAGAGAGGGAGCTGGGAGAATCAACACCTCCTTCTGTCCCTCCCTCAGTTCTCATGGCATTGGCAGCCAGAGGGCCAGGGGACCTGGTGTCCTCCCTACAGGTCAGCCTACTTGGATGCAGAGCTGGGTGCTTTTGCCTTGGTGGCAAGTGGATCTGATGGGACACAGATAATGAGCCAAAGATCTTAGGTGCTGGGCCTGAGCTTCGCATATGGGAAGAACTAACTGATATCCACTGAATATAATTAGAGCAGGGCAGAACTGAGTAACTTTGTGCTTTGCCATTCATTCAGTCTCTAGGGTGATCACTTGCTGAGTGCTAGCACTGCCAGATGCTAGGAGAATAGACACACCTGAGTCCTCTCCTGGAACTCACTTCCTGTGCTCCCCAGCAAGTACCAGGAAGGGAATGCAGAGCAGTGTTCAGTAAGAAGACCTCAACTAAAGACGTGATTCTGGACTGAAAGTAATGTGGACTTAGCTGGACTGCCACACAGGCTGGGTTGGCTGAGTTGATGTCAAGGCATTGGCTGGAACTGAGCCAGAGGGACTTAGACCTTGATGTTCTGCGTTTCAAACATGGACCAGGTTGGGATGGCATGTGTCAAGCAGAAACCACATAGTGTGGGTGCAATGCCAGGTGGTGGCTAGAATTAAACCATGTCACCTATACTCAGCGTGAGGTACAAGTGGTATAGATGATAGGTACCTTCTTAGCCGGGGCAGGGGGAGGGTGCTGCGGCACTTTCTCTAGGCTTCCTCTCTGCAAGTTATCACGTGAACTCTGCTGACAGTCTTTCTGGGCACTTTGTCATTTAGCTGTGTCCTTGTAACATTTACCCATTCCTCCTGAAAGTGCGTGTTCTGCTGTGATCAGGTGTGTTTCTCATGTCCAAGGACCTCCTTTGTGTGTGCTGTGTAACCTGTGGCTTCCCTTCTCAGACCTAGCCTCCCTGTCCTGCCTACCATGCTATTCTCATTACAATTGCACACACACATGCACATGCACGTATGCATTTCTGACTATTCCTCAGGCCCTTCTCCAGTCCACCTCTTCTCTGACGCCTTTCTATCTACTCTGTGCACATGGTGGCCATTGCAGGCATATTCTGTCCCAGAGCCAGAGTGCAACATTCATTTGTTCTCAGAATGCTTCCTGCATGGTAATTTTTTGTTTTGTCTTCCATGAGAGAGCATGTGAGTGTGTGTGTGTGTGTGTGTATGTGTGTGAGAAAGAGAGAGAGAGAGAGGCAGAAACCCTTGACAGAGTTTCATCACACCACAATCCCTTTCCTCATACCCTCCAGCAAGTTAGGATCTTGGGTGCTCTGAATATTTCAGGCTGCCCTAAGACTCAAACCCACTGTTAGCCATGTGGCTTCCAGCACTGTAGATCAGTGTTCTGCTGCCCGCACCACTGAGGCTGGGCTCCTGCATGGCAAATTGGTGAACTATCAATATTTGAGTTAGTGTTTGTATCTCATGCATACATTGGACCTAACAGTTTTAAGTCTTCATACATTCTTGTACTTGGTTAATCTGCTGAAAACGGTTTCCTTTTGGAATGGGTAGTTGCAGAGCCAAATTAAGATTGTTAGAAGCCCACAACATGGAAAATAGGATGGCCATCCCCTGACACATAATTTAGGTAAAAGACAATGCCAAGTCATAAGTGTAAGAAAGATGAACATATTTCTGATTTTGCTATAGTCACCATTTCCATACTTTTCTTGGGGAAATATCAAGTTCTAAACAACAACAACAGCAATTACAACTCCTGGGGCTGTAAGCAGAAGCATCGCTGTCTGACCCAGGGTGCTTATTTAGTAGGGATCCTTCTTATAGAGAGCTACACAGCATTCCTCTAGTCGCTGCACTGAACTATGAGTCCCTCCTTTAGCTTCCCAAGCCACTGGAATTTTCCAGGGCAAAGCATGGTCTTCGTCTTGGCCCAGCACCCTCAGAGATATGAGATCTTCCCAGAACCTCAGCATCTCCCTGCTTGCCCTTGTTGCCGAGAGATCAGTCACATTATGTCTTCTCGTCCCTCCCAGTATTTATATGTAGATAAAGCTGAATAAATGAACATGGGAAAGAAGTCACTAAAGCCATACAAGAAGCACAGGTAGGGCAGGGGCAGGGGCATAGCAATGGGGAGAGGTGAGCAGGTGAGGTCTGCCCATCTCTGCTGTTCCAAAGAAGCTGTGGTCCGAGGGCCTGCGAGTATCTTTCTATAACATCTGCCATCTTCTAGCACCCATATAAGGGCTCCAGGTGACTACACGGAGACGACTCACTCATTCATTCCACAAGTCATGTTTGCAGGTCATTCCATAGGTATGCATTAATCACTTGCTGCTGAGAGACAGTTCTGGAAACTATTCAGCTAGTGCAGGTCATGATGCGGGAGGCTGAGTGAAGCATGGGGAAGTCAGGAATGTGTACGCAGATGCCATAGAGTTTTGGAGAAAATGATGGCTGGGGAGCTGGAGAGTTAAGCCCTGAGATTCCTACTGCTTCTAGCACCAGCTGGGCCATTCTCAAGAGCCACTGAAGATCACTTGGGCTCAGTTTACCCATCTGTCAAAAGAGGAGGTGAGCTAAGTTTCCCTCCTGCTCTAATTCTGAGACAGATGCTTCCCAGTCACTTGAGTGCTTGCCACATACATGGAGACTAGCCTCTCAAGCTTCATGGCTAAGTTGGCTGAAGGAGGCAGAAGGAATTCCATCTGCACCGTTGACCTCCAAAGACTTTGCCCTGGGCACCCTGGCCTGGTATCTCACAGCATTTCTAGGACAGGGTCTAAGTTTTCAGGAATGTGGCCTTTGAGGAGGTCACGACCCTATAATGTGTGGTCCGCATGCTCTTTTGGCTTTGACTTGAGGATGCAATCTGTACAAAGAGGCCATCAGTGTTGAGAATCAAGTTCTGTGGACCTGCATTTCACCTTTCTTCCCAAGCTAGTCTGGAACTCTTCTCTATAATGTCAGGCTGTCCCAATTACAGGTCTGTGATTCCTGCAGGTAACTTCAGGGCAAAGAACCCTTGTCAGTCTTTCCAGAGCCTGAAGTCATCAGCCAGTGGGTCCTTCCTGCCATATTTCAGGGAAGAATGACTATGCACTTGTACAGGTGGTTGGAGGAGGGACTTAGTTAATTTATTCTGAAAATTAGTGTTTTCTTTAGATCTTCAATGGTAGGTAACTTGGAAGATGCAAACAATTATAGAGAAGAACACGAAAATAGCTTGGCATTTCATGACCTGCAGAGGAGAGAATAGATCCAAGATTCCTTGATTAGGACAGTGGAGGAGAACAACAGTGAGAGGAGACAAAGCAGGAACATTCTCAAATTATACAACACTATCCCCCTTCCTGTCACCCCTGCAACAGCATGTATGGCTTCTGGCTGTGTCTGTGTCCCGAGTCTGAGCCAGGAGGTCTGACTTTGGGAATGTCCCAAGTCCCAGTCAAAGCAGCCACGGTATATTTGAGGAACAGAAGGGTCTCATGGTTGTCTTGCCACTTTGAGGGCAGCCTGTTGCTCCTGAATCCATCCTGACATAGCAGTTCAGCAAGCATACTCCCTCGGGCCTATATTTTCATGATCAATGTCTTGGGGAGGGCCTCCTTCATGCATTGTCCTTGGTCTTCCCAGAGGTAACAGGTCTTTGCTTTGGCGCTATCCCCTAAAGTGCAGACACTGAGGTATGACTAGTGCTTTTGAAGTGACAACTGTGCTCTCTCTTGAGATCGAATTGATTTGGTGCTTTCACTGTCTGGACACGCTTCTAGGATGACAAAAGAAGTCCCTGGGAATGAGATTCTGGAGGTCTCCTCCCCGGGGCTTCTTTAGTCATTCTAGAAGTGTGTCTAGTCACAGGAGCAGAAAAAGGTCTAATCATTCTGTGGGCAGCAAGCAGGAACTTGGCAAAGTGCTCAAAGGAAATGTGACTTGGAAATAGGAAGAGAAAAAGAGAGATCCGGGCTGGGCATGAGAAAAAAACATTTGATGCAGGCTCGGGACAGGCTGGCCCTCTGCACCGTGGTTGTGTGACTATAGGACTGGCAGTCAGATGCTGGTTTAGAGGAACAGACACAGAAGCATCACTTCTCTGAAGGACAAAACTAGACTCCTACAACTCTTGTGCCTGGCTGTGCATTAGAGTTAACTCTGAGGAGCTTTTTAAAAAAGCCCAGTGCTCTAGAAATTCAGATTGAATTGTTCTGGCTTAATGCTTGGACAAAAAGTCTCATAAAACAATACTTACCCTTAGAGCATACTGTTCATTCTGATATTTTCTAGTCTATTTCACTTCATCTAAAAAGATTTTGGTTTTGTTTCAGTAAGTTGATTTCAAGGCCACTAAAGGGCTGTAGCTCACAATCTTGAAACTGCTGTTCTGTGCATCAGCTCACACTGCAGCAGCTGGGGAGCTACAGCCTTCACTTCCTAGCTTGGCACACCTGGGGTCTGGGTGTGATGTAGGTCCCGCAGCAAGTCCTGGGTGGTCCCAGTGGTTTCTCTGGCCAGCACCACTGTGGGGGCATTTGGCCTTCCCTGGAGGCTGCTGAGCCTGGCAGCTCAGGGAGGAAGACCTGGATCTGGATAAAAGGGTGAGAGTCACCACACTAGCCATCTGCGAGTGCCAAGTTTCTCTGGAATTTCGTTACACTAGTCAAGGCAGGGCTATCAATCCAGAAGCTGAGGAAAAATAGTAGAAAAAGCAAGAAACACAATAGGAAGCCACACCGACTGCCTTTTCCTGCTGGCACTCACCTAGTCTGTGACGTCACTGAGCTACTTCCGTTAGTCTTTTAATCTTTCAGCAAATATTGACCGAATGCCTGGTAAGCCAGGCCGAGGACAATTCAGGGGACAAATCAGACAAAACTCTGCCTGTGGAGCTTATATTCTCCTGGTTGGGGGGTAGGGGAGTACAGAAGTAAACAGATGAGTAGGTAGACACCGAGTATGTCCCATGGATGTAAATGCTGAGAAAAACAGAGCAGAGGAGGAGGCAGACCAAGCTGTTGTAAACAGGATGGTCGCTTCCAGGTGGCATTTGGGGAGAGAATGAAGGAAGAAAGAAGACAGCTGTGACAGTTAGGAGAGTGTTCCAGGTGGAGAAGTGAGAGACGAAGGCCCTGCAGCGGGAGCATGCAAGGTACCTGTGCAGAGTGAGCGTGGGAGCCCATGCATGCGGGCTTAGGAAAGTAGCAGCGGGTCATGCGCGTCTTCATCAGACATGTAAGGCCTTTGCCTCTGACGCAGTGTGAGATGTGAAGCCCTTCAAGGTTGAGTGAAAGTGTGTCAGGAGTTAACTTGAGGCTATTCAACATGTCTACGGGGACCAGATTGTGGTACATTGGTAAAATGAGATGCTCTGCAAGGCAGCCCTATGTAGGAAGGTTCCCAGTTCATGTCTGGACACCTCCTGGAGTGAGCCAGGCACGTGTATGCCTATGATCTGGGGTAGGCTGAGGTTGAGGGTGGCACCAAGACCCTGTTGAGAGTGCTGTCTCTCTGACTACCTGTCTCTCTTTTGCTCATTAAAAAAATGAATATGTACATACTATGCAATCGCTGTCTGAGAACGGATGGTAGAGTGGTGATGGGGGTGAAGCAGGGCGACCAGGCAAGAGTTTCTGGGCATTGTGTAGTGAGTGGTGATGGTGGGTTAGATCAGAGAGGTACCGAGGGAGGTGCTGGAGGTGGATGGATCCTGAGTATATTTAGGAAATAGAGACAGCAGGATTTGATGATGGATTAGATGTGGGATGAGAGAAAGTGAATCATGATCATTCTAAAGCTAATCATGATCATTCTGATCTCCCGATCTGCTCTATAGAGATGATGAGAGCCAGCTGCACAAGACAGTTGAGGTGGTGGGTTGCAAGGAGCTGAGTGGGGCTGGTGGCTAGAAGAGCACTTTTTCCAGGCCCAGTCTTTGTGGATATCTTGAGCAGCCTGTTTGAGGTCACTGTGAGCTTCCTGAGCAACAGTTCAGCTTCTGTCCATGGTTCAAAAGGATTGGAACTCAGCAAGCAGCCTTCCAAAAAGATCTGTTGTGCTCTGGGTCAATCACCAGATAAGAATTAAGCTGAAACTGGCTTTCAAAATCAGGGCTGATGATCATTACCACATATAAAATTCCTAGGGTTGGGCCAACCAGATGACACAATGGTTAAGGTAGCTGGATCTCATATGGCTGATTGCATGGTTTGGTTTGAATCCTGAACCTGACAGCTTAAAAAACATCCCAGTTAGGGACCAATAGATGGCATGATGGTTACAATGATGGACTCCCACGTAATCAACCCCAGTTTCAGTCCTGGATCCAGCAGCTTAATCTTATGCCAGGCACATGTGCGTGCGTGCCCAAACTCCCAAGAGGAGAGCGGAGGAGAAGGGATTGCGGTGTGACCATCCCTCCTGGGGAGTAATTTCCCACTTTCTGTCTTCCTGTCTTTCCTTGTCTCTCTGGCGAGTGCACGCCCCTTATAGCAAAAATCACTCTAAAACTAAATAAGACGAAACAAACAAAAAGAAACCAGCCACTTGTGTGTGTGTGTGTGTGTGTGTGCCCAAAAGCTTGAGAGGAGACTGGAGGAGAGGCGGTTGCAGTGTGATCATCCCTCCTCAGGAATGCTTCCCTCCGTCTCTGGTGAGCATACACACCTTATAGCACATTAAAAAAACGGAGAAGAAAAGAAAGAAATCCTAGGGCCAACCTGTTAGTGCAGTGGGTAAGTGCTGTGCCCTAGAAGCAGATCCCATGTGGTTGACCATGGTTTAAATCCTAGTCTTGGTGGCTTGAAAAACACAGAAGTGTGTACACGCATGCTCCAAATTTTTACGGGATAAAGAAATTGAGGAAAAGGGATTGTGGTGTGACCATACCCCATTGGGGAGTCTTTTCTCTCTCTTTCTCTGGCAAGCTCATGTGCCCTCTGGCAATTAAAAAACAAAAAAGAAAACAATTCCTAAAGTTTCCATATGACTTACTTATGAGCACTGAGCATAATACCTTCCCTAGCTGAGGGGGAAGTGCTTACTAGGTTCTTCACTTTCCCAAAGTTTCTGTGTAAGTAGTACTTGCTTTCTAATTAAATTTCTGTCCTTTGCTCCAGTTTCATAAACTGTGAAGGGCACCATTGTAAGGGGCAAGGGTAACGCCCACTCCAGGAAGCCTTCCTAAACAGACTTAGCCCGGCCACCAGCTGACTGGAGCTAACTTAGCCTCCAAATCAGGTGATTCACCCCGGATTTCCCTGCTTTTAGCATTGAAATCACAAGTCCCAGCAAATTCCACAGTCCTAGGTAAACAGAATGGTTAGTCACCCGTGCCTCCAGCTAACCCTTCTACCGTAGGCCTGATGACAGCATGGTGGGCTCATTTTAAGAGAAGCAGGTTCAAAATTCTCATGAGTGCCTGAACACAAAAACAGTACAAATTAGTTTCTTTTCTTTTTTTCTTTTTTTTCAGAGATTTTTCTGTATTGCATGTGCGCTCACCCAGGAGATGAGAGAGAGAGAGAGAGAGAGGGAGAGAGAGAAGAGAGAGAGAGAGAAGAGAGGCAGAAAGTAAGAAATCATGCCACAGTCCCTTCTCTTCCATTCTCCTCTTGAGATTTTGAGCATACACACATACATGCCTGGTGTAAGTTTTATGCCCAGGTCCAGGTCTCAAACTGTGGTCAGCTACATGGGAGTCCAATCCTATGCTGGTCCCCAAGTTAGTTTTATGACCCTGGCTATAGGCTTAAATTATGGAAGATATCTTTTAAAGCTATTTTGCCAAGCACACTTATTAAAAAAATCAAAACAATTTATTATTGTTAGTTAGTTTTTCTATAGGGCACATGTGCTTGCTGGGGAGAGATAAAGGTGGGGCAAGTGAGAAATCATCCTCCAGCGGGCCTGGCCACTCTGCAATCCTTTCTCCTCCATTCTGCTCTCAGGATTTTGGGGCATGCATGCTCATACACCCAACAAATTTCTTAAACTGCCAGATCTGGGACTTGAACTGTAAAGTTAGCCATGCAGACCCACCACATCACCGGCTGGCCCCACAACAAATATCTTATCATTTTGCTGCCTCATAATAATAGCAAAGAAATCCCAATCTCCAAATTGTCTGGTTTCTTTATGAAAAATCTAAAACCTGGGACCAGCAGTTAGCGTAATGGCTATGTCGCTAGACTCCTACATAGTCAACTGCGGTTCGTGTCCCAGACCCAGTGGCTTAAAACTCACGCCGGGCACGTGTGCGTGCGTGCCCAAGATCCTGAGAGGAGAACGGAGGAGAAGGGATTGCGGCATGGCCATCCCCCCTGGGGGATGATTTCTCGCTTTCTATCTCTCTGTGTCTCTTTGTCTTTCTGGCGAGTGCACGCACCCTATAGGAAAGCCCTGTTCAAAAAAAGAAAAAAAAAGGAACCAGCAGTTAGCGTAATGGCTATGTCGCTGGACTCCCGCGTAGTCGACCACGGTTCGTGTCCTGGATCCGGTGGCTTAAAACTCACGCCGGGCACGTGTGCGTGCGTGCCCAAGATCCCGAGAGGAGAATGGAGGAGAAGGGATTGCAGCGTGACCATCCCCCCTGGGGGGTGATTTCTCGCTTTCTGTCTCTATGTCTCTGTCTGTCTGGCGAGCGCACATGCCCATAGCAAAAACCTCTCCAAAAAAAAACAAAAACAAAAAAAGAAAAAAGAAAAAAAACCTAAAACCTGAATGTCATTCCTTTATATGAAAATGAGTCAGCACACACTCTACCAAGAATCACGTTTGCTGATGTTATGTCATTTCCCGAAGCCTAGGTATACCTGGAGGATGACAAAGAGAGTCCACTTCCAGCTGATATTATGTTTTGTTCAAATCTGGGATTATATAAAAGTATTTTCATTTAAAATCATTTGAATGAAACCAAAGGTCCTATTGTCATTACTACTTTACAGGAAATGGATTTCTTAATGTTATCAAACGTTAAAAAGTTCACTTTGGAATAAATGCCAATAAGCACTATACGGCATAACAGTGAATCCTAATGCACATTACAGGAGAACTGGGACAGCCTGTGACCTGGTCAGATGTAAGGCAGCTGGATCCACAGGGTTTACTGTGCAGTTCAAATCTCAGCCAGGGTGTACTGAAGACTATTCTGGGTGTGTGCATGCATGCCCCAAATCCTTATAGAAAGGAGAGATGAAGAAGAAATTATGGCATGACCAAGCCCTATTGGGGGGTCCTTTCTCTTTGTCTTGCTCTCTGGCAAATTTAAAAAAAGAACAAACAAAAACACGTTACAGGGGAACCAACTTTACTGTGTGGGAAATGGTCCTTCGTTTCTCCTTGACTATGCTCTTTTCTGTTTCTATTAGAAAGAACTGAATGGCTGGTAAGGCTTTTAAGAAATGGGCAGCTTGTAACAAATTTAACCTCCTTAGTCATCAGATAAATGCAGAGTGAGACCACAGCTGGAGACATGTTACCCTTATTTGCGAAGAAGTCTGGGGACCAGCAGTTAGCGTAATGGCTATGTTGCTGGACTCCCATGTAGTTGACCACAGTTCAAGTCCCAGACCCAGCGGCTTAAACTCACACCGGGCTCCTGTGCGTGCGTGCCCAAGATCCCGAGAGGAAAATGGAGGAGAAGGGATTGCGGCGTGGCCATCCCTCCTGGGGGGTGATTTCTCGCTTTCTATCACTCTGTCTCTGTCTGTCTGGCGAGCGCACACGCCCTATAACAAAAACCTCTCCAAAAAAAAGAAAAAAAAAGTCTGATAGTTTTTGTTGCAGAAGATGTCGATCAAAAGGGTCCCTTCTACATTGCTGGTGGGAGTATAAATTGGTAGAAGTGCCTCAGAGACAGTTTGGCATTATCTTGTAAAGTTGAAACTCATGTGTTCTGAAACTAGCAGTATCATTCCTAGGTATGTCACAAAAAATTGATGTTCATGCAGTAATGTTGCTAGCGGCACTGTGATAGAAAAACTGCGTAACTGGGATCAGCAAACAGCATAATGATTATGTCACTGGACTCTTATGTAGTGGACCACAGTTCAAGTCCTAGATCCAGCGGCTTAAAGCTCATGCCGGGTGTGTGTGTGTATGTGTGCCCAAAATCCCAAGAGGAAACTAGAGGAGAAGGGATTGTGGCATGGCCATCCCCACGGGGTGATTTTTCACTTTCGATCTGTCTCTGTCTCTACGGAAAGCACACATGACCTATAGCAACAAAACCTCCCTTTAAAAAAAAAAAGATAAAGGGGACGAGCAGTTAGCGTAATGGCTATGTCACTGGACTCCCACGTAATTGACTGCAGTTCAAGTTCCAGACCCGGTGGTTTAAACTCATGCCAGGTGCATGTGCATGTGTGTCCAAGATCCTGAGAGGAGAATGGAGAAGAAGGGATTGTGGTGTGGCCATCCCCCCTGGGGGGTTGATTTCTCACTTTCTGTCTGTCTCTCTCTTTCTGGCGAGTGCACATGCCCTATAGCAAAAAACTCTCAAAAAAAAAAAAGAAAAGAAAAAAGAAAGAAAAAGAAAAACCGGGTAACTTCTAGCCAGCTTCTTCTCCTTCTGTTCCCTGATTCATTCTGCCTCATCCTTCTGTTTCTCAGACACGCCAGCCTTGTCTTTGGTAAGTTCGCCCTAACTGGAGTCTTCTTTCCTCAAAGCTCTGCCTGCCATTTCCTGCAAATCGTTAGCTGGTCCCTCACTCTTCAGAGAGGCCTTCTCTGACGCCCAGTTGATGGCCCTCATCTCTTCCCGTTTCTTTCTTCTCTGTGTCCTCAACCCACCACTTATGAGGGTACAGGCAAGGCCACTTTCTATACAAAGAACTCATTGTTCTCCAGAGATGGCTGCTGGTTTTCAGCCTTCGGCCTAGGAGAACAAGGCTTTTGTCTCCACTTTCTGGATAAGCAGAAAGACAAAGATTTCTACAGATTTTATAAAGGCAGATGCATGAACAGGAAAGAACAGCTGAGGCTGGGACCTGGCCGCTCATGTCCTTTCCCTGCTCCCGTGCCACCAGCTTCGTGGCAGTGGCGTTCGTTGGTCTCTGACGCGAAGAGGAGCTGCCTTTCCCTATTAAACACCTATAGAACTTGTGTTCACCGAACTCACATCCTGCCAAGTTTCTTTTCTCCATATAGAATTATTAATATGTATTATTATAGTTGCAGGCACCCTGGCACTTCATCCCTACATATTTCAGCATGGTTGTCCTTCGATGCTGAAACCATTCCAAGTTTGGCTGAAGGCCTTTTCAAGGTGGCTGCTGTGTCCTTTCAACACATCCCCACTTTTGAGCACTTCCTGGCACAGCCAGGCTTATCTGGTACTTCCGTTGCAGCCTTCGGATCAGCCAACTCCCCTGAGGAGCCTTGGCCTCTTTTAGCTGAGAATGGTAGAGGCCAGGATCTGGGATTTAATGTGCTTCTTTACTGCTGGGGCATCATTGTTTCTAGGACCTTTGGATGGACAGAGCTAGGAAACATTTTTTAATTGCCAGAGGATGCCTGAGACAGAAAGAGGGAGAAAGCACCCCTTCCCCAACTATGGGCATGATCACACTACAGTCCCTTCTCCACTACTGGAATTTGAGGCATGCATACACGCCTGATTCAAGCCCTGGGATGGGATTTGTGCTGTGGTCAACCATGTGGGATCTGACTTCCTCAACCACCAGGCAAGGGCCAGCCCAGGAAACAGTTTCTGGAATCCAGAATTCATTGTTAGTCTCTCTTGTTTGTCCAACATCACAGAATTCTTCCTCTCCTTCCCCTATTCCACATCTTCCTTCGCTTTTTGTTTTTCCCAGGAACGCTGTCTTCATCTTGACTCTCCTTTGCTCCTGGCTGTGTTAATTAGAAAAATAAAGTTTCTTATTATAGTATCTGATCCCTCATTTTTTACTGAGTAGAAAATAATACATTCCATGTAGAGGTGAGGGCAAATACCAATTTCCTGAGAAATATCTGTGTAGGGACCAGCAGTTGGCATAATAGCTATGTCTCCAGACTCCCATGTGGTCGATGGAGGTTGGAGTCCCAGACCTGGTGGTTAAACTCATGCCTGACGCATGTGCATGAATGCCCAAGATCCGGAGAGGAGAATGGAGAAGGGATTGCAGCATGGCCATCTTCCCGGGGTGTGCGTGTGTGTGTGATTTCTCGCTTCCAGTTTCTCTGTCTCTTTCTTTCTGGAGAGGGCACACACCCTATAGCGAAAACCTCTTCCAAAAAAAGAGAGAGAGAGAGAGAGAGAGAGAGAGAGAGAAATCTCTGCGTAGACGGGAGAGTCTGGAAGGAACTACCATTTGGAATAGTCTATGTTCCTTTTTTTTGCTGTGGGATTTGTTTGCTCATGGAGGGGCAGTATTGGAGATGGAGGCGAGGAGTAAGGAAGCACTCCAATCCCGATAGGAGTATGACCACTCTGCAATCCCTGATCCTCCGTTCACTTCTTGGATTTGGGGGACACACACACACACCCAGGCCGAAAAGCTGCAGGTCCTGGAACCAAACCACATTGTAGGCGTTAAGGGATCCAGCCATCCTAATGACCACCCACCTGGCTGGCTCTTACGTTCCTTTTTATTTTTTCCAATCATCATGCGACGAATGCGTATTACTTTTTCGAAAAAAGTTTTAAGGCAAAGGAGAAAAAAACACCACCCTATATAGACTGAATGCCAACACGTCAATCCTATGATACATCCTGGGGCCAGGCGCTTCGGGACAGGACGTATGCGAGACAGGAAGGGCTAGGGCAGGGCACCTGGCCGGAAGAACGGGAAGGCGCCTGGAGCCCAGCTCTGGAGGCAGCGCGGCGTCTCCCGCAGCCCGCGGTTTCCTCGGTCCCGGCGCATCTCAAGTACGAGTGGAAGTCAGGCGGGCCACGCTGGCTGG